AGTTTGTTTATTTTGAAAGAGAGAGAGAATGAGCAGGGGAGGGGCAGAGAGAGGGCCAGGGGTGGGGGGGACAGAGGATCAGAACTGGGCTCTGTGCTGACAGCAGAGAGCCCAATGTGAGGCTTGAACTCATGCATTGTAAGATCACGACCTGAGCTGAAGTTGGATGCTTAACCAACTAAACCACCCAGGTGCCCTGAGTTTTATAAGTTTTTTTTTTATATATATATTTTGGATACTAATCTTTTAGCTGATACGTCATTTGCAAGTAATTTCTCCCATTCTGTAAGCTGCCTTTTAGTTTTGTTGATTGTTTCCTTTGCTGTGCAGAAAGTTTTTATTTTGATGTAGTCCCAATAGTTCATTTTTGCTTTTATTTCCCTTGCCTCAGGAGACATATCTAGTAAGAAATTAATGGGCCAATGTCAAAGAAGTTCCTGTCTGTCTTCTCTTCTAGGATTTTTATGGTTTCATGTGTCACATGTAGGTTTATTCCATTTTGAGTTTGTCTTTTTGTGTATAGTGTAAGAAAGTGGTCCAGGATCAACCTTTTGCTTATAGCTGACCAGTTTTCCCAACACCATTTGTTGAAGAGACTATCTTTTTTGCATTGGATATTTTTCTCTGCTTTGATTGAAGATTAATTGACCATATAGTTGTGGGTTCATTTCTGGGTTTTCTATCCTGTTCTAGTGATCTATGTGTCTATTTTTGTGCCAGTACTGTACTGGTTTGATCACTGTAGCTTTGTCATATAACTTGAAGTCCAGAATTATGATGCCTACAGCTTTGCTTTTGTTTTTCAGGATTGCTTTGCCTATTTTGGATCTTTTGTGATTCCATACAAATTTTACAATTGTTTGTTCTAGCTCTGTGAAAAATGCTGTTGGTGTTTTGATAGGGATTGAATTAAATGTGTAGATCGCTGGGAGGTATAGACATTTTAAAAGTGTTCTTCCAATCCATGGGCATGGAATGTCTCTCCATTTTTTTGTGTCATCTTTCCATTTCTTTCTTCAGTGCTTTTCATAGTACAGGTCTTTCATATCTTTGGTTAGGTTTATTCCTAGGTATCTTATTGTTTTTGGTATAGTTGTGAGTGGGATTGATTACTTAATATCTCTTACTGCTGCTTTATTATTGATGTATAGAAATGCAACAGATTTCTTTATGTTCATTTTGTGTCCTGCAGCTTTGCTGAATTTGTGTTTCAGTTCTAGCAGTTTTTTGGTGGGTTTTCAATATATAGTTTCTTGTCATGTGCAAGTAGCAAAAGTTTGACTTTTTCCTTGCCAATTTGGATGCCTTTTCTTTTTGTTGTCTAATTCCTGAGGCTAGGACTTCAGGTACTATGTTAAATAACGGTGAGAGCAGACATTCCTGTCTTGTTCCTGACCATAGAGGAAAAATTCTCAGTTTTACCATTGAGGATGACATTAGCTGTGGTTTTTTCATAGATGGCCTTTATTATGATGAGGTATGTTCCCTGTAAATGTACTTTGTTGAGGGTTTTTATCATGAATGGATGCTGTACTTTGTCAGATGCTTTTTTGAATCTGTTGGAATGATCATATGGTTCTTTTCCTCTCTCTTACTGATATTATCACATTGATTGATTTGCAAATATTGAACCACCCTTGCAGTCCAGGAATAAATCCCATTTGGTCGTGGTGAATGATTCTGTTAATGTACTATTGGAAGTGGTTTGCTGGTATTTTTTTTTTTTTTTTTTTTTTTTACATCCAAGTTAGGTAGCATATAAATGGGTAATGCCCCTTACCCATTTAACCCATCACTCCTCCCACAACTCTTCCAGCAACCCTCTGTTTGTTCTCTATATTTAAGAGTCTCCT